ATCCAAACTCAAAGTATGACAAATCTCAAATTCGATGTTATAATTGTCAAAAATTTGGGCATTATGCTTCAGAATGTAGAGCTCCCAACAACAAAATTGAGGAGAAGGCCAATTACGTGGAGGAAAAGACAGATGGCAAAGAAACTCTTCTTCTAGCACGAAAGGAAACTGATGGTGGCCAAGCAAATTCCTGGTATCTTGACAGTGGTGCAAGCAATCACATGTGTGGAAGGAAAGACATGTTTGTGGAGCTAGACGAGTCAGTAAGTGGAAATGTTTCGTTTGGAGATGATTCCACAATAGCAGTGAAAGGGAGAGGTAACATTCTTATCCGTTTGAAAGATGGGAGACATCAATTTATTTCAAATGTCTACTATGTGCCCAATATGAAAAGTAACATTTTAAGTTTAGGGCAACTGGTAGAGAAAGGTTATGATATTCATATGAATAATTATAATCTTTCTATAAAAGATGATAAGAATAACTTCATTGCTAAAGTGCCGATGTCAAAGAATAGAATGTTCTTGATCAACATACAAAATGATGTTGCAAAGTGCCTGAAAGCTTGCTACAAAGATGCATCATGGCTTTGGCATCTTCGATTTGGGCATCTCAATTTTGGAGGTCTAGAGCTATTATCTAAGAAGGAGATGGTGAAAGGACTACCTCACATCAACCATCCTGACCAACTCTGTGAAGGGTGTCTAGTCGGGAAACAATTCAGGAAAAGCTTTCCAAAGGAGTCAGAGACAAGAGCTAAGAAGCCACTTGAGCTCATCCATACCGATGTGTGTGGACCGATCAAGCCAAGTTCTCTCGGTAACAATAACTATTTTCTTCTCTTCATTGATGATTTTTCAAGAAAAACCTGGGTATATTTCTTGAAACAGAAGTCAGAAGTTTTTGAAGTATTCAAGAAGTTCAAAGCAGCAGTGGAGAGAGAAAGCGGTAGAAAGATCAAAGCCATGAGATCCGATCGAGGTGGAGAATTTACTTCCAGGGAGTTTCAAGAGTTCTGTGAAGCAAATGGAATTCGTCGACCAATGACAGTTCCTAGATCCCCCCAGCAAAATGGTGTGGCAGAAAGAAAGAATAGAACAATCCTCGACATGGCACGAAGCATGCTCAAAAGCAAGAAACTACCCAAAGAATTTTGGGCGGAAGCAGTATCGTGTGCAGTCTACTTGTCAAATCGATCTCCAACAAGAAGTGTATGGGGAAAGACACCGCAAGAGGCATGGAGTGGAAGAAAGCCTGGCATTTCCCACTTGAGAACCTTTGGAAGTATAGCCCATGTTCACGTACCAGACGAGAGAAGAACGAAGCTTGATGATAAAAGCGAGAGTTTTATCTTCATCGGCTATGATGCTAATTCGAAGGGCTACAAGTTGTACAATCCAGACAATAAGAAGTTTGTGATTAGTCGAGATGTGGTCTTCAACGAAGAAGGAGAATGGGATTTTAACTCCCATACAGATGACTTCAATTTCTTTCCTCAGTTTGAAGAAGATGAGCAGACAATGAGGGAGCAACTAGATGAATCTCAACAAGAGCTTGCAACTCCACCCACTTCACCAACATCAACCACTCAAGGAGACTCATCACCTTCATCATCGTCAAGTGGGAGTCAAAGTGAAAGAGTTGTGCAACGCACAAGAAGCCTTAGAGATCTCTATGAGGTAACTGAACGACAAGATAATCTTACATTATTTTGTCTGTTTGCCGATTGTGAACCAGTGAGTTTTCAAGAAACGGTACAAGAAAAGAAATGGAGAGATGCGATGGACGAAGAAATCAAGGCCATCGAGAAGAATGACACATGGGAACTTACCTCACTTCCCAAGGGACATAAGGCGATAGGTGTCAAATGGGTGTACAAAACAAAGCAAAACGCCAAAGGAGAGATTGAAAGGCACAAGGCGAGGCTAGTTGCTAAAGGCTATAGTCAAAAGGCTGGAATTGACTATGATGAGGTATTTGCTCCTGTTGCTCGATTGGAGACTATCAGACTAATCATTTCTTTGGCAGCTCAAAACAAGTGGAAGATACAACAGATGGATGTAAAGTCCGCCTTCCTAAATGGAGTTCTTGAAGAGGAACTTTACATTCAGCAACCATCAGGCTATGAAGTCAAAGGGCATGAAGACAAGGTGTTGAAGTTGAAGAAGGCTCTTTACGGGCTAAAACAAGCACCAAGGGCATGGAATAGCCGAATCGACAAGTACTTCCAAGAGAATGGCTTCAACAAATGTTCCTACGAGCATGCTCTATATATCAAGATCAAAGATGAAGATATTTTGATCGTGTGCCTCTACGTGGATGATTTGATCTTCACTGGAAGCAACCCAAGCATGTTTAATGAATTCAAGGATGTGATGATGAAAGAATTCGAGATGACAGACATGGGGCTCATGGCGTACTACCTTGGCATTGAAGTTAAGCAACAAAATGATGGAATTTTCATTTCACAGGAAAGCTATGCAAAGGAGATACTGAAGAAGTTCAAGATGGAGAACTGTAAGCCAATAAGCACACCGGCAGAATACGGGATCAAGATGACCAAACATGAAGAAGGCGAAAGTGTAGATCCAACATTCTTCAAAAGTTTGGTAGGAAGTCTACGCTATCTAACTTGCACGAGACCCGATATTCTTCACGCAGTTGGATTGGTTAGTCGCTACATGGAATCCCCAACAACCACCCATTTTAAAGCCGCAAAGAGAATTCTTCGCTATCTGAAAGGTACAATTGACTTTGGCTTGTTCTATTCAGTTTCTAATGATTACAAGCTTGTTGGATATAGCGACAGTGATTGGGGTGGAGACATAGATAATCGAAGGAGCACTACTGGATTCGTATTTTTCATGGGAGATATTGTATTCACATGGATGTCAAAGAAACAACCGATTGTCACATTATCCACTTGTGAAGCGGAATATGTTGCTGCTACCTCATGTGTTTGTCATGCAATTTGGCTTAGAAATCTATTGAAGGAGATTGGTTTGATACAAGAAGAGCCTACCAAGGTTTGTGTCGACAACAAGTCAGCCATTGCCTTAGCGAAGAATCCAGTATTCCATGATCGAAGCAAGCACATTGATATTCGCTACCACTATATAAGGGAGTGTGTTGCAAGAAAAGAAGTGGAAGTTGAATATGTGAAGTCACAAGATCAAGTTGCTGATATTTTTACCAAGCCACTGACCAGCGAAGACTTCTTAAGATTAAGGAACCTACTAGGGGTCACGAGATCAAGTTTAAGGGAGGGTGTTGGATCATAAACTTGATCCATTATGGGAGCCTAAACCCAAACCCAAACTAAATTGATGTCATTACTTACATCATTTAATTAAAGATGTCATTGCTTACATCATTTAATTAATGATGTCATTGCTTACATCAATTTAGTTAGGTGAGAGTTAGATATTTGTTGAATTTGTAATGGTTTAAATTAGTTTATTTGTGTGGTGTAGGATTGTTCTTGAGTAGTATAAATACCCCTTCCCATTTTAGTTTTAAGCATCAAGAAAAATTAAGAGCTTCTAAGTGAGTGAAGAAGCAAAGTCTTATAAGAGTGAGTTGTAGTTCTTGTTTTTGAGTGAGAGTACTCTTGTAATATTTGTTTGAGTTTCAATAAAAGTTGTTTGTGTGAGCGTTTTATTTCCAACACTATATCCACCGCAGCATCGGTATTCATTTTAATCCACCCCTCCGTCGGCCTCCTCCGATAATTAGAACTCGATTCCCGACCTTTCGCTAAAGAAATACATTGAGTAGAATTCTGAATAACACCTTCAATTTCTTTCATGTAATCCATACTCGATTTCAGGGACAGAGCTATTCATTAGCTCGGGGCACTGCCCCTAATTTTTTAATCATTAATATATATATATATATATATATAGGGATAACTACCTATTTGGTCCTTCAAGTTTTGATTTATTTTGATTTTACCCCTCTTATATTTTATTATTAATTATACTTTGTCCCTCTTCACCTTCAAGTTTTGGTTTATTTTGATTTTATCCCTCCCATTTTTTATTATTAATTATTCTTTTCCCCCCTTGAACTAGAATCCTGGCATCGTCCCTACTTGGTTTAACAATATTCTTTTTCTCAATAAACTCGGGGTATAAAAGTATTTTATTACATCTAGTCCATAACATCCAACAAAAACCAGGAAACATAATTGACCATAAATCATGTTATTCCACAAATTGACCCGCTTGTTATATATTCTCTCGAAACCAATCCTCCAAAGACAACGAGTTAAACTCTTGGAATGAATTATGCCTATTAAATTACTCAAAATTTTCTTAATCTATTGATAATACAAAACCTGCAGACATAACTACTTAAAATCATGACCACTAAGAAAATTAACATTCCGTGATAGGTTAGAAAATTTAAATTCTTAAAACAAACAAAAAGTGTGATTTGAATACTTATTTACATATAATATCATGCAATTATCTTTAAAGCTAACACTCATAGGTTTAGGTTCCAATCTTTGTATTTTGGTGGCAAAGTAAAGGATGTCATCATACAAAACCTGTACATCCCATCATCACGAGGGAATCTGCAAAAGTGGTTATCAAAATGTCAATCCCAATCTTGAACAACCCTTATACTCGTTCCATCAAATATACGTGTCTTAGCAAGTTGTTTCTCTTTTACAAATGAGGCCAAAACTATGTATATGAGGACTGTCACAAAAGCACATATTCAATCTACTACTCAGCTTGAATATATGCTTAAGAGATAGATCACCCCCTTCTACTGGAAATTCCATGTTTAAGTGGGATTCCCCGGAAAGAAGGAAAAAAACATGTTAGGACCGGTTTGATCTTAGATGGAATATTAGGGATGGAAATGCATAAGGAGATAAGATAAGATATAGAAAAGGAAGAGAAAAATTTCGAAACCCATGTACCTAATTATTCCATTCACTTGGCATGTTCTGAACAGTGCAGGGTTTAAACCAGTATATAAGTAGGTGTATATTGCAACACCCAAAGCACACAACACAAGCAAAACACACAAAGCTACCAAAACCATGGCTCAAATGATGATGGCAGCTGCTAAAGCTCAAGATCATAAACACACCTCGGTGAAGCTTCGGAACGATTCGAAACACGATGTATCCCTAATAAGCTACACGGTTTGGGAAGGAGATCAGGATACAAAATTCCCCAGAAAAATCGTGAATAGAGATGTTACTGAGGTTACTCACAATGCAGGGCGTAAGAACGGTTCAGTCGCTGGTCTCGCATATGAAATGATGAACGATGGCAAAAAGTGGGTTGTTACCTGGAGCAATCCTAGAGGTGAAGACAGCACGGTATGCATGTACTGCAATATTCTTTTATTTAGTTAATTTGTACAATAGATTGAAGCATTGAAATGTATATATTCCGTGGCACATGCAGGTGTACGTTGATATAGTGGATGGGGATATTGATTGGGATCAAATCAAGAAGGATCTTGATAACTTAGGGGATTCGAGTTCTGATGCTGTTAGGTTTGGATACAGAGCTGGAATGGTAGTTGATGATCCACAGGCCTGCTCGCCAATCGTCACTGCTTATATTGAGCCTCGGACCTGAGATGGCTCATCACACTGTGTGGCTGTCCAACTTCAATACCACTACTACTAATAGGACAATAAATTAGACAGCCATTAGATAAGTACGTGTGTCTTCAGGTTGGGGCCTTTCAGAATCATATTATTGCCATGCATGCATGGCTACTACTCTATATATGGATTAAAATAAAACAGAAGGGCCTTTTTCTAGCTGTGTGTGCTTGTGCAGAGAGGGAATTAAATTCATCCCCAGAGAAATTATATCGTTATCAAACTTTTATGCATCTCAGTTGTCTACTGCTGCTGTTGGGTATGATTTTTTTGTTTTTGCTCCATAAGTGAATAAACTTTATTAAAGAGCTAAAAGGAAAATGAAGAATAACAAGATGAAAAAAATGAAAATAATACAACTCCTCAAAATAAAGAGCTTCTATCAATCCCCCTTGGAAGGTATCGGCAAAACTAAAAACTAAACTAAAATTAGGCTTAATAATAAAATAATTGCTCAAACTATATCTCTTTTCCCAAATAAGTGCTTAAAATATTTTTCATCCAGGTGCCTAAAGTTATAAACGTTATCACTTTAGTGTCTGGAACATGTCACTTAATAACCTTTTTAACTGCTATTAGAATTGAGGCACCTTAAATAATAACATTGTCACTTAATGGACTTTTTTAACGTTCGTTAGAATTGAGTCACCTTAAATAATAACGTTTGTAACGTCAGACACCTAAAGTGGTAATATTTATAACTTTAAGCACCTAGATGGGCCGAAAAATACTTCGGGCACCTATTCGAAAAAAGCGGTATAATTTGGATACTTATTTTATACTTAAACCAAAAAAAAAAGTGTGCTTCCCCTCCCATCCCTCCTCTCTCTCCTTTCCTCATTTTAATTTTCATGGCCAAATGACCAAAATTCAAACGGTCGGCCGATGAAATGGCCAAGGGTATGGTTTTCACAGTCAATTACCACGACCGAACAAATGAATTTAAGGGATTGGATATTTGAGATTTTACGGATTAAGAATTGAAATTTTTAGGATTTGAGAATTTTAGGTTTTGAGATGATATTAAGAGTTGTAAACGGTTAGTGGGTGGTCGGTGACGTATGGGTGGTCCGCCACCGGCGAACGAGTGGTCCGCCACCGGCGAACGGGTGGTCGGAGATGACCGACAGTTGGAGTATATGGGACTAAAATAAGAGATTTTAAGAGTTCAGTTTTTTTTGTATTTTACAAAAATATCGGGGTTTTTCAAAAATAAAATATTTTTATGTTTTTTAAATAAACTTTAAAATTTCCAGATTGTGACACGTGTCACGTAACGAGATTTTTTAACGGCTGTTAATACCGAAGCACCCTAAGGGTAACGTTTATAACATAAGTCACCTAAAGTGGTAACGTTTATAACTTTAGACACTTAGATAGACCGAAAAATACTTTCAACACCTATTCGAAAAAAATATTATTTGATAACTTATTTTATTCTTAAGCCATAAAATTAACCTTCCCTCTTTTAAGTAAATTTGAATTTTTTTCACTCACGAACTAAAATAAAATTTAAAAATTTTAATGTGTTTGACACGATTTGATGTTACTTAACTCAACTGAAAAATCATTTAAAAACTAAAATAAAAAAATATAAACATATAGAGTTATAAAAGTAATTCGAGCTTATTACTAATTTTTAATTAAATTATTTATAAAAAAAATATATTAAAAAATTATATATGTATTGTTTACACGTATACTAATGTGTCTTAAATACTAATATTTATAATTTTTTTTAACAATTTAATGGCTAAAAGATCAAAAATTTTTCAAGAAAATATTAACACCCAAAAGTTGAGTGACTATAACATTAACAGTAGATAGGGGTGTCAATGAACTGAGTTTGAATGAATAAAGTTGTTTTTGTGTTTATATGTCTATTTTTGAAGGTGTTCATGTTCGGTTCATATTCGTTTAAACTTCTAATATTTTGGTCATGTTCGTTTATTTATTTTTGAATGTGTTCATGTTTTTTTATTTATTGTTCAAAAACATATTTATTTATATGTTGATGAATATGTTCGTTTCATTTAGCATTCGTTTATATGTTCAATTTTTAATTTTTTACAGTTTCATTCTCAAGGTAAAGAAAAATGGTAAAACTACGCAACTAGTGCTTAAACTCCAAATTTTATCATGTTTTCAGTGTAGTCCATACTTCCACCAATATTTAAAATGTAAAAAGATAAAAAGAAAAGGAGAACCAGGTAAACGAACTTCTAAAAGAGTCATTAAACGAGCTTATAAATGAGTTTGTTTGTGAACATAAATGAACATAACACACCTTTATTCTCATAGACAACAAGTTAAACACTTGGAATGCATTATGCCGAACTAAAGTACTCAAAATTTTCTTAATCTATTGATAATACAAAGTCTGCAGACGTAACTACTTAAAATCATGACCACTAATAAAAATAACATTCCATGATGGGTTAGAAAATTTAAACTCTTAAAACAAACAAAAAGTGTGATTTGAATACTTATTTACATATAATATCATGCAATTATCTTTAGAGCTAACACTCATAGGTTTAGGTTCCAATCTTTGTATTTTGTTGGCAAAGTAAAGGATGTCATCATACAAAACCTGTACATCCCATCCTTACGAGGGAATCTGCAAAAGTGGTTATCAAAATGTCAATCCCAATCTTGAACAACCCTTATACTCGTTCCATCAAATATACGTGTCTTAGCAAGGTGTTTCTCTTTTACAAATGAGGCCAAAACTATGTATATGAGGACTGTGACAAAAGCACATATTCAATCTACCACTCAGCGTGAATATATGCTTAAGAGCCAGATCACCCCCTTCTACTGGAAATTCCATGTTTAAGTGGGATTCCTCGGGAAGAAGAAAATAACATGTTTGGACCGGTTTGATCTTAGATGGAATATTAGGGATGGAAATAGGGTTTCAAATCACGGTCGAGGTCGCGTTTTCGGTTATTTCGGATTTACTGTGATTGCGGCCGTCGCTGGTAACTCGGACGACGGCGAAATCTCTATATTGAGGCTGAAATCACGATCGCGGACCGTTTATTAAAACCCTGGATGGAAATACTTAAGGAGATAAGATAATATATAGAAAAGGAAAAGAAAAATTTCGATACCGATGTACCTAATTATTCCATTCACTTGGCATGTTCTGAACAGTGTAGGGTTTAAACCAGTATATAAGAAGGTGTATATTGCAACACCCAAAGCACACAACACAAGCAAAACACACAAAGCTACCAAAACCATGGCTCAAATGATGATGGCAGCTGCTAAAGCTCAAGATCATAAACACACCTCGGTGAAGCTTCGGAACGATTCGAAACACGATGTATCCCTAATAAGCTACAAGGTTTGGGAAGGAGATCAGGATACAAAATTCCCCAGAAAAATCGTGAATAGAGATGTTACTGAGGTTACTCACAATGCAGGGCGTAAGAACGGTTCAGTCGCTGGTCTCGCATATGAAATGATGAACGATGGCAAAAAGTGGGTTGTTACCTGGAGCAACCCTAGAGGTGAAGACAGCACGGTATGCATGTACTGCAATATTCTTTTATTTAGTTAATTTGTACAATAGATTGAAGCATTGAAATGTATATATTCCGTGGCACATGCAGGTGTACGTTGATATAGTGGATGGGGATATTGATTGGGATCAAATCAAGAAGGATCTTGATAACTTAGGGGATTCGAGTTCTGATGCTGTTAGGTTTGGATACAGAGCTGGAATGGTAGTTGATGATCCACAGGCCTGCTCGCCGATCGTCACTGCTTATATTGAGCCTCGGACCTGAGATGGCTCATCACACTGTGTGGCTGTCCAACTTCAATACCACTACTACTAATAGGACAATAATTTGACAGCCATTAGATAAGTACGTGTGTCTTCAGGTTGGGGCCTTTCAGAATCATATCGTTGCCATGCATGCATGGATAGTTGTAAAATACTACACTATATATGGATTAAAATAAAACAGAAGGGCCTTTTTCCAGCTGTGTGTGTGCTTGTGCAGAGAGGGAATTAAATTCATCCCCAAAGAAATTATGTCGTTATCAAACTTTTACGCATCTCAGTTGTCTACTGCTGCTGTTGGGTATGATTTTTTGTTTTGTTTTGCACCATAAGGGAATAAACTTTATTAAAGAGCTAAAAGGAAAATGAAGAACAACAAGCTGAAAAAAAATGAAAATAATACAACTCCTCAAAATAATGAGCTTCTATCAATCCCCCTTGGAAGGGTATCGGCAAAACTAAAAACTAAATAAAATTATGCTTACGAATAAAATAATTGTTCAAATTATACCTCTTTTTCGGATAAGTGTTTAAAGTTTTTTTCAGCCTATCCAGATGCAAAAGTTATAAATATTATTATTTTAAGTGCTTGGCAGGTGTCACTTAATGAACATTTTTAACGGCGGTTAGAACTAAGGTACCTTAAATAATAAATTTTGTAACGTCAGGCACATAAATTGATAACATTTATAACTTTAGGCACCTGGATGAGAAGAAAAATACTTTAGGCACATATTCAAAAAAATCGATATAGTTTTGGCCCTTATTTTATACTTAAAAAAGAAAAAACGTGCTTCCTCTCCCCTCTCTCCTTTTGTCATTTTAATTTTCATGGCCAAACGACCAAAATTCAATCGGTCAGCCGATCAAATGTACAAGGGGTTGGTTTCCACAGTCGATAACCACGATAGATCAAATGAATTTAAGGGATTGGGTATTTGAGATTTTACGGATAAGGAATTGAAATTTAGAGATTTGGGGAATTTTAGGTTTTGAGATGATATTAAGAGTTCTAACCGGTTAGTGTGTGGTTGACAACATATGGGTGGTTCACCACCGGCGAACGGATGGCCAGAGATGATCGACGGTTGGATTAAATGAGACTAAAATAAGAGATTTTAAGCGTTTAGGTTTTTGTGGGTATTTTAGAAAAAATGTGGGTTTTCTAAAATAAAATATTTTTAAGTTTTTAAAATAAAATTTTAAAATTATCAGATTGTGACACGTGTCATTTAACGAGATTTTTTAACGGTCATTAATACCGAGACACCCAAAGTGGTAACGTTTGTAACGTCAGCCACCTAAAATTGTAATGTTTATAACTTTAGGCACGTGGATAAACCGAAAAATACTTTCGACACCCATTCAAAAAAAAATATAGTTTGAGCAATTATTTTATACTTAGGCCATAAAATTAACCTT